CCCCCCCCGCCGCTGCGTGCGGTGCGCGCGGGTGGGCAGCTTCGGGGCGCACTGGCAGGAGACGCTCTACAACATGTTCACCTTCGCCTGCCTCTTCCTCCTGCCCCTCCTCGTCATGGTGCTCTGCTACGGCCGCATCCTCGCCGCCATCTCGGGCCGGCTGAAGGACGCCCGCGGTGAGAGCCCGGGGCCGGGGCCGCGCCGCTCCGCCGCCCTTTCTCCGTCACCGCTCGGTTCTCTTCCTTCTCCCCTCCTGCGGGGGTCCTGCGCCCCGCCGGGTCCCCTCTCCCCAGCTCGTTAACCCCGCGCTCCTAATTAACCCCGGGGCGACGCCTTCCTCCTCGCGCCTTCCTACCCCGGCGTTCCCACCCCGCAGCCTCCTCCCAGGGGATCCAGCTCCGCCGCTCCTACAACAACATCCCCCGGGCCAGGATGCGCACGCTCAAGATGTCCATCGTCATCGTCCTCACCTTCATCCTCTGCTGGACGCCCTACTACCTCCTGGGCCTCTGGTACTGGTTCTCCCCCGAGATGCTGACCCGGGAGAAGGTGCCGCCGTCTCTCAGCCACATCCTCTTCCTCTTCGGCCTCTTCAACACGTGCCTGGATCCGCTCATCTACGGGCTCTTCACGGTGCGTTTCCGCAGGGAGATGTGGCGCGCGTGCCGCTGCAGCCGCCGGCGGCAGGAGCAGGAGGTCGCCTCCGCCCTCACCGGTTCCTTCCGCGTCTCCACTGCCGCCGTGCCGGCCAGGAGAGCCGGCAGCGGCCCGGGGGGATCCGGAAAGCACGAGATGGAGGTGACGGCGGGCGCAGCTCTGCCGGGCCGGCGGTGCGAGCTGTGCCGCAGGACGGTGGAGAGCTTCATGTGACGGGGAGGCCAGGCCGGACCCGCGGCAGAGCAAGGGGACCCCCAGAAGGGGGTCGGGGGGGACACCAGGGCCCTGCGCCGCCACAAAGCCGCTCGACAATAAACTCCGATTATTTTCGCAGCAGGAGCCTGTCTTTGGGCCGGGGGATGGCTTAACCGGAGCCGGCACGGTGGCCCGTTTCCGTGCCAGGCAGGGTCTGAGGGCACCGGCAACGCGCAAGGAGCGATAAGCCGGGAGCGAGGCGCCCTGTGCCGGGCAGAGAGCACAAGCTGGGGCAGAAATTCCTGTCCAAGACGCGGCAGGGGCTCCTCGGGGAAAAAAAATACGGAATTTAAACGTGCCCCTTCAGCCGCGCCTGGGGGCACGGGGAGAATCCAACACGACCAGAGCCAAGCCGCGCAAAGCCCGCCGATCTGGCGGAGAACAGCACCCGGCTAAAGCAAGCTGTCTCCTCCAAACGCTGTTTTAAGGAAAAATGGCTTTTCCAACTCATCAACTGCTCTACTGCCGGCCCCGAGATCAATAACCGTGACAGCGACATCAACTGATTTTAGGCACATCTAAAATTAGCAAGGAGGCACGAAAGGAACCGGGGCTCGATTACAGCTCTCAGCGCGTTTAATTAAGGACAAATAACAGAGGACAATCTTACACAAAACCGGGGTTATTTAAAAGGCTGAGCTCACGCGCAAATGGGAAGTCAACAGAGGAAAGCCCGCAGGAGATTTAAGGAACGATTGCCTGGGGTGTAGAAAACAACTTCTCTCCAAAAGGAGAGCGGCCGCAACGCCCGGCCACCCACGGGCGGGACAGAAGGCTGAAAAACGTCGCGGCTGGA